TGAGGCTTAAGCCTCAAAACGCCTTGAGGCTTACGCCCCGCCTCAGGAATGAAAAACGCCTCAATATCCGAATACACAATTTTAAACATTGAGTGGTGGACAATGCCCTTTGTGGCATTATCCTAGTTTAATCCAATATTTTTTTCCTTTATGTTAGGATTCTTCTTTTTCATATAATTAGACGTATTAGTCATGTATAACACCATTCATGGAACCATACGAGTTTAATCAAGTTTTCTTTTCATTTAGATTTAAAATTTTGTTTTTCTTAGGATTAGACGTACTAATGATGGACAATGCCCTTTGTATCACCATACTAAATTAATCCAATATTATTTTCTTTTAGGTTAGGATTCTTCTTTTTCGTATGATTAGACGTGCTAGCCGTGTACAACTCCCTTCGTGGAACCATACTAATTTAATCTAGTTATCTTTACATTTTAATTATGATTTCTCTGTTCCTTAGTATTATAAGTACTATTGGTGGATAATGCCCTTTGTGGCACCATCCTAGTTTGATGCGGACATCGGTACGAAGATTTGACGCATCTATCACAGGAGGCGTCGTAAATCGACAGCTATAATTTAAACCTTTAATTATGATTTATTTTTCTGAATTTTAGTTCTTAATTAATGTATTTCCTGTTTTACCCTTCCTAGCTTAGAAAACCGCCGATCCCCTGGAAGAATAATCAGGATTTATTTCCTAATTTATTACTAAGCCTATTTGGAAAATAAGTCTTCTCTCTTGCCAACCGGAAGTTATTTTTTTGCCCAGGCATTTATTCCCTTTCCAAAATCTAGAGAGGAAGCCTTCATTCTCCCCATTTATTCCTATCCTAATTCCCCAAATCAATTCACTGATTTTGGGGAATTAAAATCCATTAAATTTATGTGGTCCCGCATCCCCCTCTTCTCCTAATTGCTCCAGCAAACTTCCCTTTTTCTTCAAATCTGAGAATTCTTCTTGGCTGAAAATCCCATGTCCCCACCCCATTTAAGTCCTTCCCAACTCATACTTTCCCATTGGAATTAAATCCCTAATTTCCAAGTTCTCATTCACGCCTCCCTTCTCTTCCCGTGAAGCTCTTTGTTTGCTGCCCACATTCCAACCAAGTATTTTCTTTGCTGCCTTGCACATTTTGAAGACAGCAGCTTGCTGTCCAGAATACTCCCAGCACCTTATAGCTGCTGTCCAAGATTTTCCCAAACACCCGAAGTAGCTGTCAAGAAATTTCCACGTGTCAACGCTAATATTCAGC